CGTCTGCCTTCGTCCAAGTTTTTCTGTAGTTTCCTTGGGTCACTTACAATTAGGCAAATGCTGGGCCAATAATATTCCATAGAAAATCTTTCACTTTCTTCTGCCTTCATTTAGTCAGTATCGTCTTTCTCACCCCAACTACCACGGTTGCAAAAAGGAGACTGACGAGAGTATGCGCACTTAATTTTGTTTTTCACACAAAATTTGATACAGATTCTTTGATCCATTTTTTTGGAGTAGGCAAAAATCGAAGACTAACCAAAACACGTGCAAGCAAAGCAGCTGTCAAAAATTAACTGAACATTCAACATGTCGATATAATGAGAGGCATGAGTACCAACAACACCATAAAAAAATTGAAAATCGAATATACGTAACCCGCGGAAATTCAAAATTCGCAATACATTTTGAACAGACCTTGTATATACAAAATATATTTGTACATTGACTTCACGACGACACCGTATAACCTAGCGAGGAACTCGCAAATGGATTGGTGAAGCATCGGCAGAAGAGGGATGTATAGAAATTGTTGGGAACTGAATCTACCATCACAGTATATGGTAAAGATTCTATACAGTAGGTTCACTTCCCAGTAACGCCCAATCATCCCTCTCCTGCCGACGCAAAACCCAGCGAAGCAGGTGTTCTTTGGCCAATATACACTATTTATTTTGTAACAGTATCAAGTATCAACTCAATTTAGTTTTTTAGATATTGACTTAATTGGCTTTGCAATAAATATCTTTAATTCTAAACCAAGCGTTAAAATGGTTAATTAGTTCCTCCTTTTTGCGGAGTATACTTCTACGTTAATTACCTACTAATTATTGTGTTTAATACTCCACTTGCGTTTAATTGGATTAGTTGGAGTTAATTTTCATCTAGTTCAACCGAATTCATTGTGTCAGAAATATTGTACTATTCCTGAATATAAATTGTATAAGTAAGTTAGACATTTATTTCGGTAGAAGCTATGATTTATTTTTAGTGTATTAAATGTGATATGTATGTATGTTTGACATAGGATCTATTTTCATGGGCGTAGCTGGCGGGGTAGCTCCTTTACAAATGTGATGTAAAAATAGTTTTTTTTATGTTTACGACTTGATTGAAATATTCTCTACTGTTTTTGTTTTTCAACCCAAGGCTATCCGTGCTTCCCCCATTTACGCCACTAATTTAACAAGATTTAATTTTATTACTTGAGAGAAAAATTTACTACACACTTTCTTTTGAATGATTTACTGAAATGCGTGTTTTCCTTAAGTTAACAGCTACATATGTTTGAAGTTAGTTAAGCAATGAAAAAAGATTTTATGTCGAATGTAAATCATTAACTGCCTATAGTAAAGTACCCATATAGGCTATAAATATCCCACAAGATTTAATTATTACTCTTAAAATAAAATAAATTGTAATTTAACGCCTGTAACTTCAAGCAATTTAATAAATAAAACAATTAACGTTGAGTTATGTTGGCATTGGTGTAGCTAAGAAAGTTTTGTAAGGGTGGAAGACGATCAGATTCTTCAAGGTTTTAATTTCGGTAAGAGGGTGTATGGTGACACAAAATTTCTTAACTTTTAGAACAAAAGTTCATATGGTGGTCACTATTCTGTCAAAACCGTTAAACGTGGGTCGCGATCCTCTTGGGTCTCATCAGCGCGTCGTGACCAATTCCGACAACGCACAGATCAACTGTACGTGTTGCCTTTAGACTGCGTTTTACGAATTACTACAAATAGCGTAGAAAACGCCACCTGTAGTAGAATTGACAATTTTGGAACTAACGAAGTAATTTAATGTGAGAAATAACAATGGAGTACATTAATATTTTTCTTATTCATAGTGGCAACCCTGCAGTAGAGACAATGGTTGAATCCTTATTAACAGTTCATTTTAAGATAGGGATGAAGATTAAAATTTTTGTAGAAGAAAAATACGTAGAATAATATGATCTGTCTTCAATCTACATGACAAATATCTTCCTTTAATTTTTCTTGCTCGTATATTGGTAAACGAGGGTTGATTTTTGGAGACAAAATAATGGTTTTTTCTCAAGATAGAAATAATGGTAACGGCATATTCGCTTAATACTGTCGATTTTTCTAAGGTGGGAAATGAGTTTTGTAGGGTGGGCGCTGCTACCCCCCTAACTACGCCCATGTATGCTTCACAAAATAAAAATTGATGTTTCATTTTGAACATAAGAGAAGCACAAAGTGAAAGTAATATTTGAATTTTAATTAATTGGAAGGGATATAACTGTGCCAAGTGTTACTTCACCTATACGAAAATAGGTTTGTGTAACTGTTCAACTTTAGTATTTGAAACAATGTACATACATACGTTATTATTGGGTCAAGTAGGTATTACGATGGGTGGAACAGGAAAAGATAAAATTCGTATCAACAACAAACATAAGCAGAAAATGTATGAAAAGTTTTGTAAAACTTAATTTATGAATCCTAAAATTTCTCTGAAAATTCTACACTTAAATAAATGCTTATACTTACAGCTAATTTTATGCCATCACGGTAAAAAGCTATTCATAACTAATAACTAATGTAACTCCTTCACGAGCTGTTGCGTAATTGATATAATCCAATTCAGTTAATACTGTTATGTTCTGTTTCCGCTGCTATTGCAAAATTGCCTATAGAATTGCCAATTGAAAGTAATCACTATTTGCCGGTTTGGAAAATGAATGCTATTGAATGTCAACGTTAAAGGACCCGTGATGAATGAATGGAAATTTCTGTCTGTCTTTTTGTCACGGTTTCCTAATTGTTCATCGCAAAAGTACCGGAATTTGGTCGATGCTTTTAAGTTTTTTACAGTTCATGGCTTTTAAAATAAAATAAACAACATTTACAAGGTGGAATTTTGAAATTACTTTTATTTTTCCACAGCAGAAGCTTCTCTAAAAGTGTCATAAAACATATAAATATTTGCTGTCAGCACAAGGCAAATTAGTATACGTGATTAGTATCAGCAATTTCTTATGCTGAAGTGTACGATGTGTTGCATACCTATTTACAAACAATTACTTTATAAATTTAATTTTTCAAACAATTTTTAACACAAAGATAGTAATTAAACAAATTGTTCGAAAGTGAATTCCGAACACTCGAAGCAATGATGCTAACAAATTCGAGCTAGTAGTGACTGGAAGGGGCGAAGAACTTGTCTTATAAATAAAAGAAATTATGAGTGTTGTCAGTACATGGCGAAGTAGTATACGTGGTTAGTATCAGCAATTTCTTATGCTGAAGTGTACGATGTGTTGCATACCTATTTACAAACAATTCCTTTATAAATTTAATTTTTCAAACAATTTTTAACACAAAGAATGTAATTAAACAAATTGTTCAAAATAAAATAATTGTATTAAAAAAAACTAGTATAACCCATCCAACGACTACCACATCGTATCTATAAACCCTTGACCGAGTATTGATACTTAAACATATCAAAAGATTAGTGATTAAATACGTATAATATTATGCATCAGTGATGCTGTATTTGGGGAAGTTTTCTTAATTCTAGGGGAGAATATCGAAAATTGTTTCATTTAGTGAAAAAGAAAACTTATGACCTTATCCAAGTCAATCTGGGGATATTTATCATCAATACCTTTGGATATATTTTTATTGCTTTGTAACATTATTAACTTTACACGTAGAAGAGTTTTGGAATAAGTTGGGAAAATGTAAAAAACTTGAAATTTTTACGAATGAAGATGGTAACGCTTGCTACATGGTACAAATTATTAAAAAGTGGTACAAAAACCAAGAAATTGGAACATCTAACATTACTGCGAGGCGAAGAAAAAATTTTTGCCCTTTGCCCCCTCCCCTACCCTACGCCAATGGTACTGACAAAATTGCAATCGCCAGCGTCGCTATGATTGCCATTCTACATTTGTACTTGGTCTATTTCAATTTTTTTATCCCTAGCTAATTTCAAGAACTTGAATGTTTAGTTAGACGAGTTGAAATACCTTAGTAAAGCCGTGTAACGCCTGAAAATATCCCCCAGATGGCGACACATTGCCTCTATTTTGGATATTACAAAACTAAGAACGAGATACACTCAAAATATTGAGCATGCAGTCCTGAAAAGACGAGTTTTTTTTACTTATTCATCTTGATCTTTCTCTTAATCTCATACAAGCATCTTGTTTCTGATTGGATCGTAATTTTTCAAACAAAATAAGATCGGTAAATTCTAGACTCTTGCAGTAACCCTATCCAATAAAAATTTTAATTTAAGTATGTATTTACTACATAACAATACGGAAACCGAAGGAGTGGTTGTAGCAATAACGAACTTCATGACAAAGTTAAGGATCAAATTGGGTAGTAGGGAAGTAAAGCTTTAAATGCAGTTTCCAAAATAATAATGTCCTCATCAGCAAACTGTTGTCAATTGTACATAATAAATTTTAATAAAAATACTCATCCCAGAATTGCTTCTTTGTTGGCAATATTTTTGTGGTAATAAAGACCATTTACATTTAATATCATCCAGTAAAGTTTCTAGGGAATTTTAGAGATTTTATTTATGGGATTAGGTGGTCCCTTCTGGCATCAGTGCAAACTTAAGTACTCCAAGCCCTAAGTCCAAAGACTACTCAAAGCTCAAATTACATTTTAAAATCGAAGAACTTTCGAATTACCAATTACTTTGAAAACAATTAGATTCAAGCCCCTAAGCCCTAACTTCTAACTACTTCTTCATAAAAGAAGTGATTCTGTGCCCTGAAAGGACTGAAAGCACATATTCAAGCAGAAATCACCACAGCTCTGCCCAACTCTGATATAACAAAGTGATAACGATGTTGAAATGTGTCACAATGAATGTTTTCGGTATTTGTTAGCTGTTACTGGCTAATCGACCACATAATTTCGTCGGTAAACATGTGGGTTTAATGTTGCTGCAATTTTTGCAACGTATGGTTTTTTTATTGGCAAGTTTTTTTTTGTTTGTTTTAGCGGCACAATTGGCGTCCAAGTCGTTGATGGAAACTATTTCGGAAATTTACGAAAGCCAGTGGTCCGGACATGACCAGCTTTACGTTCAGTGCCAATCGGTCGACATGCTCTGGCAGGATTTCAGTCACAAACTGGGCGAGCAAGTTCTCCTTCCGTTAAACACATATCAAAGTCAATTTTTGGAAATGAGGGTGAGCAAAAAAATATTAAACTAATCATTTTTGCCGTAATCAAATCAAGTGAAAGAATGTATTTTACCTACCGAAATGAGGTTAGAAGATGGGCCGTCCACATCCTTCACAGTCTCTAGTAACAGTGAAAGTGTTTTTGCCCATTACACATTATCCTAAATACTGTTTTGATTTCAATGGAAATTACCATACAATTGGTATATCAATTGTAATTACATCTCGTATTCATTATTCGGTTAATGAAAACGAAAATATCAACTCATATACGCCCTTTAAAAGCATTCATTAATAATTAATTTTTCCTAAAATTGAGGCACGCATTTCACAATTATATGTACAGGATGACTTTGTTATAAGAACTGCTGAAAGGTTTTATTATAAAACCCCCTGTATATATACATGCACGTACACAAGGGACATGACATCTCCATAAATTAAGCAGTAACATTAAATATTGCTTGAATACTTATAAGGGATCCTCAAGCACCGAGAAATATTCTTTTTAATTTTATGGTCATAATAAAATCGAAAAATGGATGTTTCATGATTCTGGTCTTTATAAAAAAATGCAAAATTTAAAACAAAAATATTAAATTTTTTTTGTAATTAAAACAAGTAATGTTTTTATTTTTATAATTTACAGCAAATAAGTTGAAATAATGGACAGTAGAATTGTGGCAGGTGGGTGCAGGGGGGCGTGTGTTAAAAGACGATGAAAAATCAGTTTTTAAGCATGAGTCATTTTATTCAGTTGAAAAAATTGGATCAGTGCAATTAATGAGTATTTTTTTCATGCTCTTTTAACCCCCCCCCCTCCCAACATATGCCACTATTTCACCTGTCACTAAGTACTCAGGAGTAACTTTTCATTACTATTATTTAAAAATTTTATACAACCGATTGTTTTCCAATGATTTTATCAATTTTTTAGTTTTTAATTGTTAATTTTGTCATGTAGAAAACAAAAAAATAGAAAAACTTGATTCGATGCCGAGAATTTTTTTTATTAAAGATTACTTAACGAAACTCAGTTTTTTTGCCATTTAAGATCATAAAACTATTAGAAATCTTGAATTCCGACATTTCTATTACTTCTTTTCACCAATCCGCTGTAAAATGGACCATTTTGAGATCAGGATCATGAAGATTCGTCAATTTTTTGAATTTGTTATAGCCAAAAAGCCAGGTGACCGTGAAAGTGTATAATTACCTTACGTTTTTGAATATGACATCTATGTGCAAAAAGAAACATTGTAGCATATTATTAAGGGTAACCTTTTTACTTAAATAAGCCAGATGCCACCCTTAAATTGTTTAAATAGATAATGCTTTTCTTATGACAATAAGTAAGTTGTAACTTACTTCCTTTAATTAATACTAAAGGATACTTAAAAACAATCAATAAATACAAAATTATTCTCCATAATTTTTTCATAAAGATGTGACGTCATGCTATAATATAAGCTCTCTCAGAAAAAAAAGTATTTTGTTGATTTTAAATTTTATTTTTTATCTGTAGAAAAAGATAGATAAAAGAGGCAGGAAGCTGGTAGACTATGACAGCCAAAGGCACAACTTCCAGTCTTTACAAACAAGCATGGCGAAAAAAAGGGACGATACGAAACTATCAAAAGGACGTGAGCAACTTGAAGAAGCGAAAAGGACCTACGAAATGTTAAATTCGGAATTACACGACGAACTGCCCGCACTTTACGATTCCAGAATACTCTTCCTCGTCACGAATTTACAGTCTCTATTCAGTGCCGAAGAAAATTTCCATTCAGAGTGTTCCAAGGTGAGAGAACGGCATTTTGCCGTGATAACTACCATTATAATCATTCTCTCTATTCAGCTAAAAGTTGTAAACACTTTCACATATTTTAATGTCTCGATCGACACGACAGGAGCTATCGTCTAGATAAATTTTGCTGTCGTGAGTGTTTTAGCTTGTACGACCAATTCTTCTCGATTCTTAGGATTTTTTAGCCTTCCATGTTCCCAGAATAAAAGCAAATCTTTTATGGTACCGCTCATAAGTCCATATTTGCCTGTTTGTCGCAGCTGAATTTCTTGAAATCTGTTAAACAGTGAAATTCGATCATCATCATCATCATAAGGTCGTCAGTCCTAAGACTGGTTGGATACGCACCTTCACTCTTTCCTATCCTGAAAAACTAGAACAGCCCACATCCTTAACTATTTGCCAACAGTAATCTAATCTAGGTCTACCTCTACCCCTCCTAACTCCTGTTTCTGCCTCTAATATGTCTCTGACTAGACCTTCATGCCT